ACTGTCATAACACTAGTGTAATACCCCGCCCCTCCCCCTTCAGAAAATACAACGGCAACAGCAACGGAACAAACAAAATAACCCCCACCCAAAAAAAAACAACAAACAAACAAACGAAACAAACAAACAAACCCGCTCATCTTTCACCTTTCCATCTTTGTGAACATGAAATCCTGACTGGGAAAGACGATAGCTTTACAGCAATAGTAAATTTTTAAAAAAGATACATCGCACAAGGGTTTCGGTTGTTTGCTTAAGATTTCCACAGGCCCCGATGAGTGTCGTGATGTGAATGAACGACACTTCATGAGGTAGGATTGTACTTGAAGATACGAAACCTGCTGTACAGGATTTAATGTCTTTTGCTTGGGATTGACTCGTCGAATTAAAGATGAAATGAAAAGTAAAAAAAACACATTTTCCTTCCATGGCAATTTTTTTGTCAATTTTTGAAGGGTGTTTTTTATTTGTTTGTTTATTGCTGTATTTGTTTTGTTTTGTTTTGTTTTGTTTGTTTGTTTGTTTTGCTCAACACCTGTTATGCCCTTTTAAGAATAGCTTTCTGCATGCAGTTGACTGAAAAACATTGATGAATACAATTGCACAAAATGTAGATTTGCAGTTTCCAAGAACAGTCAAGCTTTAGAATCTCTACACCCTGACGTCCATTTTTGTCGCCAATCTTACGTTTGTCACAGGCGACTCCCACCTCCTTCAATCGCAAATATCCCAAGTTTTATTCAGAAAGGATAGGATTTTCCGTTTGTTTGTTTTTACCTTAAGCAAGACAGGATTTCTAGATTATGTTCATTATAATATGATTATGTCTCAAAACAGACAGACGCCTGGCTCCACTGTCAGGACACTAGTGTGGTACCTCGCCCCTTCCCCTAAAGAAAATACAACGGCAAAAGCAACGAGCCAAACGACATAATAGCAAACAAAACAAAACAAACAAACACACCCTCTCCTTCTCTCTCTCTCTCTCACACACACACACACACACACACACACACACACACACACACTCTCTCTCACACACACACACACACAGAGTACACACACACACACACGGTACACCGATTTCAGTAAAAATTCTTTGGCCCATGACCAATTTCCAATTTACTGTCCGTCGCCGGTACCCGTGCTCTGTCGTTGTGAGAACATTATTAGCTCTCTTGGGGTTCCGTTGACAGATCTCCGGAAGCTGTAGCTGTACTATATAGTATGATAAACTGGGGTCTGCAGGCTACAACCAACTAAAAAACAGTTAAAAGATTAAAGGCTTGACGATCAGGTTTATTACTTCTACTGGAACATGCTTTGTACTTACAAGATACATGTAATACGATTTTATTGATCTCCTCAAAGAGAATTTACTGTGGCATGATAAATACATACATACACACACACATGCACTCACACATAATACATACACGCACGCGCGCTCGCTCGCCCACACACACACACACACACACACACACACATACACACACACAACACACACACACACACATACACACACACAC